CACCTTCAACCAAAAAAATATAAAGTTTTTTAGTAAAGTAGGGTCAAATCGAACTCTTGTAATATACGTAAGTAAAACTGTAAGCAAATTGTAATAGTAGATAAGTTTAGAAAGTATACGATTCTCTGAATGAGTCGACTTCAGGGAAGGGGGAGTTGACAAACACTTGTGAAGTATCATAGGAATTTGTTACACTCCTAACACCTACAATATTAATTGGTTATGTAAACGTTATAGCATAAAGAGTAGCCGATCTTGTGAGTAGTATTTAGGTTAAACATCAAGTTACCCTTGTAAGCTTTAATTTTCATAAATCTGAGGATGACTATGACATTGCTTCCATCTGAATTTTCGCAAGCTCTATGTACCTGCTCAGCTAAGGTTCCCCACAAAGTACACGCCATCCTTTCATCACTGTTATCATCAATAATAATGCAAACTTTGAAGATACAAAGTCGGAGCACTTTTGTTAGAATATAAAGAGTATGTAAATATATAAATAATGCTCACTTTTCGTCTCTTATTTCGAAATCGATTTTGCAGGTTGGTTTGTTGTTAGCCTCGAGGTTCTCAAGTTCTCCAATAGTTATTATCTGGCCAATTACATCTGCATCATGGAAGAGGTAAACTTGTGGGTTAAACATCGTTTGTTAATGTTTAACTAAGAGACTATATAAAAGTAGTGACATATAAATAGAAACTTACCAACCAACATATGTGGATTCAGTTCTCCACTTTGTATCTTCTGATACTTTGCCAACGACAGAAAGGAAGAATCTGATTTGGGGTCACAATGCATGACTACAGTCCCAGGGATGAAAGCCATCTTATAGAGATGGCTGGTTGGTCTGTATTGGCCGGTGGCATAGTTAAGACCGAAGTTTTCAATGAAAACCCAGTCATCAATGTGCAGCCTGTTCACATAAAGGTTCACCAAATCCTTCCTCACGCTAGCGTGTATCTTCTTACCCTATAAATGCAGTAAGTATTATTAAAATGACAGAGACGACCGATGCAACATGGAAGCATGATTTATTAGAAATTAGTAACTTCCTTACCAATTCATCAGAGAGTACCATCTCTAATGTTTCCCCTGTTTTTTGGGTGTAGTGACGCCATGAATGTAGCATCTTAACCTGAACTCGCCACGCCGTTTTGTATGGCCTAACATCCTTGAGGAAAGCAAATGACGCTGCCATTTCAATGAGTCGTGGTATGTTTGATTGTGAGAGTGATTTGGTTTTCTTTTCAAAGCGTCATATATATAGTAGAGCATAGAGTAGGTTTGGTTGTTAAGATCGTATTTGAAAGATGAATATAGGATTTTTATAAAAAGCGAAATCTGTGGAATATACGAATCAAAGTTGATTTGATTCTTTTGTTTTGATATTTTAAGTTTCTATAAATAAACAAAATCAGTTCAATCCGATAGCAATCTAGCTATATCTTCGGTGATATTTAATTGTGTTAGACATTTTGTCGATTTAAAATTGATTCTCCTAAATCATAGCAACACGGTTTATGGTTTAATCATTGCCGATTTTGTGGAGATATTGGTGTAACAAATCACGTTGGTTTTTGTTTTTTGGTAAATGTTTTCAGTTTAAATGAATTAAATGGCAATGGCATTGGTTGTAAATACTGTTCAAACCCAGGAATTATTTCAAAACATGTCCCAAAAATGTTAATATAGATATACTTCTGTTAACGAACTACACACCGGCCATTAAAATTAAGTTTTGCAATACCATTAACTTTTACCATGCATTTAATTAGAGCATAGTTAGGGATTGGCCAGGTGTGGAATTATATTGTGGAACTAGCTAAGTAGTGTACATTCAAAGGAGTTTTGATGGAAATTTTTGTTAAATCTTTTGGGAAGATGGAATTATAAATTTCAACATTATTCTGAAAGTTGAAAAACATGTGTTCGTAGATCTGGACAAAACAATATTCGTTAAACTTACTTAAACATATATCTTACTTAAACACATGATATATGTTTATTAAATTTATCACCCATAAAAACAAAGATTAGGAAGAAAGCTGAGAAAAATGACAAAGATATATAATAGATCTATATATGAAGATTAGGAATTTATGGGAAAACTAAGATGATCATTTTGGGAGATTCAAAATATCTAGCAAGAACTCAAAGAAAGAGATATATGGTACATACCAAAAATTTTCTCGAGCTATTTTCAAGAAATATATACCTCCTCTTGTTATCCAATCCGTGGATTTATACCAAAAAAAATATCAAACTACAAAATACTTTTAACCGAAACATACCTGTTTGTATATATGTATAAGCCACTGATCGCAGCTGCAGCATCATCAAGATTCTCATACATACATCAATAGTCTTGTTCATACACATGCTCACGAATGTATAAATACTTGATGATTTGTGAATCTTGATGATGCTCCGACAGCAAACAGTAGCTGTTTGATGATAGGATATATGTTGTGAAAAAAAAGAAGATGATAGGATGTATGTAGTGATATGGATCTGTGTGGTTTTGTCTTGGATTGTCTCAAGACTCAAGACGGCATCATTTTGCTGGAAACATGAAACCCTAATCTCAATCCTTGATGTAGAGTCTTGTGACCTAGCTAGAGAGAAAGAGGGAGAGAGAGATCCTATTTGGTGCTTTGTCCAAGTAAATAAAGCCATAAAGGAGAGCCTGTTTGGTGCTTTCTCCAATAATAAATGTGAACAAATATTATATGTTTTAGTTTGCATATCTATTTAAACCAAAAATATAGGTTAATCGAGATTTCAGGTCGTTGATACAACATAAGGAAATATCCTTACATATATTTCGTTTACTAGCACTATGCCACTATATACAAAAATTAGTCACAAGCAAACAATTCAATCATTTGCCATATATAACCCACAATTATTGGCTAGTCTACAAAAGACTGTCCCAATGATTTTATCACTTGTTCCGTCATTATCATCAGCCAATAATCTTAATTCACTTTTCAAGTATTTCACTAGTCAGCGAATCTTAAGAGATAACAAAATAAAATGGTAATCAAATAGAGAGAGAGAGAGAAGCGTGAGACACGGAGAAGTGGAACTGATCCTCCTTTACGTTCCTCGTACGTTTACAAGTTCCCACTGTGCTGCTTTCCATATATATATATATAATAATATATTATTCCCTCCATCCCTTCTTTCACACACACGCAGTTAACATTTTTTTATATAATTTTTTTCAAAAACTTATTATTTGTATTCCAATTGTTAGTATATAACTAATTTAGATTGAATAATCCCTACAAACATGAAAGATCTCTTGAACTATCACCACTTGACACTTGTTAGTAGAGTAGAATCTGTATCTAGAGTACTCGTCGATCGTCTCAAAACATATATATAACCCTAAAAGCCAGTGCAATCATCTTTTAATTTGTGGGTTTTGTAACGTTGCATATGTCTAACATTGGTTATTTTATCATATTTCTTCTCATGTTCAAGCTTGCGTCAGGCCTCTAGTTATCTTCACACACATAAATATATATATATATATATATATATATATATATATATAACCAAAATTCAGGCCACACAAAAAATACGTGAGCTATTCAGAATTCACGAGGTCCACACGCTCATCTTCCTCTTTCTCCCCACCAACTAAGGCCACAGTGTAAAATATAAAAGCTATGGTTCGTACGTTGGATTTTACAACTTTGTTCACCATATATAAACTTATATATTCATTTACGTAAAATACATAATCATTTCTATATGATCAGTTCGTAGATTAAAAGACGCATTATAATTTATAAAACAAGCTAATACTTATTAAATATCGAAGAGCCAAACCTGATTATTTAAGAAAGAGTCACTGTCGTTATCTATCTATTTAATTTGTGTGACAACAAAAGTATGAATGACGACGCTAATATGAGAGTGCTGTGGACTGGACTCTTTCATAATCACAACGTATCAAATAACGTCAAATAAGCTCACATTTTATTCATATCTTTAAATGAAGTATACATTCCAATTTATGTTCGGTGTGTGTTCCTTTTTTCAAAGACGTACACGATTATATACCAAAACATTATCGATATATAATACTTTTTTAAAAATAAAACATTTCTTAATTATATATTGCGATTATCGTTCTAAACAATCTTAAAATGTATATTTGACACATATTTACAGTATTGAAAAAAATCTTGGATTCTTTGAGGAAAATTAAAATACAGTATAGAGATATCGTATTCTTGACCTAAAGAGTTTGAATTTGTTTGCTATTTTTTTTTATACTATATTTGGTGTATAATATATGAAATTTCACTATATAATGTATTTATCTCCCAGAAAGAAAAAGAAAAAATAAAAATAAGTAGAAGAGAGCTTTCTATTTTTATTTCCGAATTAGCATCTCTTTGCCACTTCTGTTGAGCAAACCAGAGCTTCGATGAATCTTGCTTTCGTACTTTGATCTCTTTCTCTCTTATTCATTTATCTCTCTGAAACCAAAACACAATAAACAACTAATCACCTCTCGAGCTTTCCCGCGTAGTCTCTCTCTTCCTCCTCTTGGTAATGTTTCTTTTCTTCTTCTTCTTCTTCTTCTTCTAGATTGTTCTTCCGTTATCACTAGGTCTTGATGATTCCATTTTCACGGATCTCTGATCTTCTAATTTCTGTTTTCATCGTCTCTGATCAGTGTGCAGCTTCAATTTGAGCTAAATTGTTCGATTTTCGTTTTCTGATACAAATTCGGATTGTGTTTTTGTTTTGTTTTCAATCTGTATCTTCAGCTCAACTCGAAGCTCCGATTTCGTCTGATGTTGTAGATCTCTGCCTGAGCCGAGTTTTCTGATTATATTGAGGTTGCTAGATGCTGAATAGAGAGTTCACTTTTACCTCAGCTAGGGTTCTTGTCTATGTAGCTTCAGTTGCTTTTCGATTCTTTCTAAATTGAGGGATTCACTTGTTCGATCGTAATTCCTGAGTGATTTTGAATATCCAATTTTATTTTGGAATTGAGATTCAAATATAGAGATATGTGTATTAATTTTGTTCTAGAATTTTTATATAGAAGTCATTTCAAAGTGGGAAACGCAGTTTATAACTTCAAGGCATGGTTTAGCTGTTACATCCAAAAGCTATTTTTCAATTTTCTCCTCGCTTAGAAGTTTTTATCATTTCATTATTTTGTTGATAAGTACATGAATGCTGGCTGAATTATTTTGTTACTCTTAACTGGTTCAGGTGGGAGCTTGATGTCTAAATTGTTATCCAAGTGCTGGGAGTTTGTCTTGGTTTAAAGAGAAAGAGATGAGTTACAAGACAACGGTTGAGAGTGATGATGGTATGCACTCCAGTATCCATAACGAATCACCAGCTGCTGATAGGATTGCCAACGGCTACAGAAGTAGAGGGAGAGGAGGTGTCCTGAAGAAAGGACCATGGACCTCTACTGAAGACGGGATTTTGATTGATTATGTAAAGAAGCATGGCGAGGGTAACTGGAATGCTGTCCAGAAACACACTAGCCTGGCCCGTTGTGGTAAAAGCTGTCGTCTGAGATGGGCTAACCATCTGAGGCCAAACTTGAAGAAAGGAGCATTTAGCCAAGAAGAAGAACAGCTCATTGTTGAAATGCACGCCAAAATGGGAAATAAATGGGCTCAGATGGCTGAACATGTAAGTAGTTCTGTAATTGTGGAAGCTACCTGATAATGGTCCATTTTCATAATTTGATATTTCCTGTGAGCCGAAAGACTAATCTCTGGTATTATATGTCTCTTCTTGTTTATCAGTTGCCTGGTCGTACAGATAATGAGATAAAGAATTATTGGAACACTCGTATCAAGAGGCGACAACGAGCTGGCTTACCACTTTACCCTCCTGAAATCCATGTTGAAGATCTTCAGTGGAGTGAAGAGTATACAAAGAGTAAAATCATAGGAGTAGATAGAAGAAGACATCATGATTTCCTGCAGTTGGGAAATGCCAAAGCTAATGCCTTATTTGACGATCTAAATTTTGCTGCTAGCTTGTTACCTGCCGCTTCTGACTTATCAGATTTGGTTGCATGCAACTTGCTAGGAACTGGCGCAAGTTCTTCTTGGTATGAAAGCTACATGTCACCAATATTACCTTCCCCGAAGCAATTCTGGGAATCTGGATCTCGGTTTCCTATGTGCAGCAGTAACATAAAGCATGAATTCCAATCTCCTGAACACTTTCAGAATACTGCTTCACAAAAGAATCCCAGATCTTGCAGTATCTCGCCTTGTGGTGTTCATCATCCTCCTTACGGAAACCAACCTTCATCTGATATGATGATGATTCTAGATAGCCATACCTTTACGGATGGCATGCTTCCTACTTCTAAGCCCTCGTTTGGGGCAGTGAAGCTGGAGCTCCCTTCATTCCAATATTCAGAAACTAGTGCATTTGATCAGTGGAAGGCGACACCGTCACCTCCACAGTCAGATCTCCTTGATTCTGTTGATGCCTATATTCAATCTCCACCACCATCGGAGATAGAGGAGTCAGATTGTTTCTCCTCATGCGACACCGGCCTACTAGATATGTTACTTCACGAGGCCAAGATCAAAACTAGTGCAAAGCACAGTTTGCCGTTGTCATCACCCGAGAAGAGTCTCAGTTCAACTACTTCTACAACTAATGCTATTCAGAATGTACCACGTCCCCAGATAAAATCAGGGGAATTGGAAGATTCCCAAAAGAATTTGGCTCGCTCTGAAATTTCAATTCCCAGGCAACTTAGTGCAGGTGGAATTTCATCAGGTGAGTTGATCAAAGATACTTGTTGATTGGTAATGGCATATAATCTAATATTTTTCCATATTGATTCATAAGCTGGTGTGTTGGTGTTCATACTTGACACTCTTGCAGGGAACTTTGTAAAGACAGAAGAGTCGGATCATGTTTGGGAACCAAAGAGAGTTGACATGACACGACCTGATGTTTTACTTGCGTCGAGCTGGTTTGACCAAGGCTGTTATGGGATTGTTAGAGACACAAGCAGCATGAGTGATGCGCTTGCGCTTCTTCTTGGTGGTGACGACATTGGGAACAGTTACGTGACTGTTGGGTCATCATCGGGGCAAGCACCACGAGGTGTTGGGTCTTGTGGATGGACTAATATGCCTCCTGTTTGGTCGTTGTAACGAAATGAACCACATCACAGTTTGAATCTTTCTGTATTTTCATGCAACTGGCTTACATGTCTTGCGGTTTGTTATACTTGAAAGAGGATTTATGGACTTCGTATAAGTTTGGATTTTCTTCACCAGATTTCTCCTATGCTTGAAGGCAAATTACCCATTTCTTGTTCCAGTTCAACCTCTTTATACTTAGTTTACTTATGCCCGATTGGTTTTGTTTAGTTCGTTCGTCATCATATGACCAAGAGACGGCTTCTAATACCGACTATTATTAAGCGATTTCTGGACAAAAACCAAATGACCTATATCTATGCCAGAATGTTACCCAAACATTACATAAAATTATGTCAAAAATATATATAAGATAGTAGTGGCTCAAGCATTCTCAATATATAGCGACATCAAAGGGAAATGAATCATTACAAATAATAAAAAGTTTTAGGTCTTGCTTCTTGCAAAATAACGTTGCCCCAAAGAGGATTAAAACCCAAAATTCTCATGGGACACCGAAAAGATTTTGCACTTACACTCCGGTTTTCTTGTTTCTAATGATTTCCTTAAGCTCTGCAAACTTCTTCTTGCATTGAATCATCGTTTTCCCAGGAACGGCTGCAGCTACTCTCTCCCATCTTTGGCTTGTCTCTTTTGGGAATGTCTTTAAAGCTTGAACCAAAGCTCTTTCTTGCACAGTTGACCAACCATCTGCGTCTGAACTTCCACCTGCCTCACCATTGGTATCTGAGACTTGACTGCTCGAGCTTTTCCCCACAACAGTCTCTTTAGAAGGGCTTGCCTTTGTTGTGGTCATCGTAGGTAGAGATTCTCCGAGCTCCTCTCTTGTGGAGAGAGGGGACGATATTGAAGCAGAGGGTTTCCTCTTCTCGAGGAATGAATCGAATGCTTTAGCGGAATCTGGTTTTTGTAGAAGAACTGTTTTAGTTGCTTTCAGAATCTCCTCGACGGATCTTCCTGTACCGATGTACTCTGAAACAACTTCCCATCTTCGAGATGTCCCCTTTGGATATTTTATCATTCCTTTTCTCAGCATATCAATCTCTTCCTTGCTCCATGGTTGTTTTTTCTGAGTACTACTATCTAACTGAGAGACTCGGGTTTTAGGCTCTGTGCCACCATTGGTCTTCTTACTTTCTTTTTCTTTAGTTTCAGCTTCGTCATTTCTACTACTCTCGCAACCATCTTTGATCACCTTTGCCAATTCTAGTCCTTCTTTGTTTCCCATTTTATCACATAGATTCTGCAATTGCTCGGTGTTAAGTGACATGCATAGATTCTCTATATCTTCCTCTGAAATGTCAAGCAGATGCTGAGCCACGAGAGGAGCTGAGAGAGTTCTAAGACGATTCCGTTCTTTGCGTAAGAGTTTCTTCTCTTTTTCCTTATTTTTCTTTTGTTGTTGTGCAGATTCAGCAGCTCGCTTTTCTTCTTCTTCTTTTCGCCTTTTCTCTTCTTCAGCAGCAATAGCAGCGTCCTCTGCTTGCTTCTTCTTGGCCAGAAGCTTTGCTTCTTTTTTCTGTTGCTTCTCAGCCTTTTCTTCCTCTTTTCTTTTCACTATTCTCGGATCTTTTCTATAGGCATTGTCAACAAGAGTCCGGATTCGAGCATGCTCCTCCTTTCTAGCCTTCACAGTTTTTTTTGCATTCTCCTTCTCCATCCACCTTCGTTCTTCACGGGAATCTGCTTGTTCAAGATCATGCTCCTCTTCATCAGGAAATTCCCTCCAACTCTTGAAAGCGTACCAAAAGTTATAGAACTTATCAACATCTTTCAGTGGTGTGTCTTCATCTCCCAAATCTGGAATACGCTGATTCACTGACCACCTAGCATTTCTCTTAAATGCTGGACCAAACACCTTGAAAAAGTCTTGCGGCAAACAATCCGACGGGACCTCGTCATCAAACTCATCAGTGGAGTCAAAAATTCTTCTCCTTGTTGGGTCCATCAATACCTCATATGCTTCTTGAATGGCTTTGAAGCGAGATTCTATCTCATCTTTTTTTGCCTCCTTGGCTTCTTCTGTCTCCTCTGCCAAAAGGAGAGTAGCGAGTTTATCAGGATGATGCTTCAGCGCAGCTTCACGATAGCTTTTCCTTATCTGATCTTCTGTCGCAAGATATCTTAAATTGCTCAAGCCCAACAATGCATAGTGGTCTTGTTGCTGGGTACCAGACTTCTTCTTTCCTTTGTTGGCATACGAGTTGAATGAAGGAACATACTCCTTCTCTTTATCATCTCCCACTTTCTTATCACTATCTTCATTGTCTGTGGGTTCTTCTGCACAACCATGCAGTTTAAGAGCAGCAGAATGGAAGGCATGACCAGCAGGTTCACGGTTTAAAGCCTTCACAGGAAGACAATTGGAAAATGCATAGAACGGTTTTCCATCCACAAGTTCCTCAGAGTAAGCAATTAGCTTAATGGCAGAGTCACTTCTCCGGCTCGGCATGATGAAAAATGTAATGGAGCTGCAAATCACCTAACTCTAAGTGAGTACCCACGCTGATTTCTGTTCCCAAGAATACAGAATTATTGTGAACTTGGGTTAGCAATTGAAACAGATCAATACTCATCTGCATATGTTAACCTATCAGCAGTAGTAGGCAAAGCTAAACTTATCTAGTAGCAAAACCAGTGACTTGAATAGAAATGTACTAGCCAAACCTCAGATTAAAATCCCAAAAGATTCCAAATTATTTGGTCTAATTTAATAAAATTAAGCAAGAGAACATTGTTTCAATAGAGATGGTCTTAATGCAACTCCGAGTCCACAAAACTAACAAAACTAAACTCCTCAGGTTAGTGTTATCACTCAATACCAGCAATCGTATAACAAATAGATAAAAATCCATAATTTTTCTACAATCAGTTACGCACAAACAAAAAAATGATTGATTCGAACTTGGTGCTAACATATTCGAAACCATTCAGATACAATAACTCGAAAGAACAATACAGTGATGGAACCGGATTTTCTTACCTAGAAACTGAGCTCGTAGTCACTTCGATCCGTGGGTCGGAAGTTGCTCTGGCGATTTCAAGCCGCGTGAGCCTCCTCCAACCTTACGGTGGTAGAGAAAGATGAAGAGGAAGAGAAGTTCAATCTGGTTTACGAGGAAATAGCGGCGGCAACGATTTGCAGATGGAGAAAGTATTGAGAAGAAGAATTGGTCTATCAGATATTACCTGCTTGGCTGTTCGTCTAAATCTATTCCCCCAAATATTTGGGATGCACCAACTACAGTCTCAACTAGTTTGGGCCAGGCCTTTACTATTGGGCCTCACTCTCATATAGGATAGAATTATGCGTTTAACCAAACAAGTCATAATCGGCGGAGAGGACCCATGAACGTCGCTGGAAGCCTTGTACGGAACTTCGGCGTCGCTGCGGTAGCTTCGACGCCATGGAACGTGCGACTGAGAGAGCTCGCGTATCAATCCTCGTTCGCTGAATCAGTTTCTCTTTACCGGTCAATGCTCCGGTCTGGTACTTCTCCCGACGCGTTCTCTTTCCCTTTCATTCTCAAGTCATGTGCTGCCCTTTCGCTCCCTGTCTCCGGTAAACAGCTCCATTGCCATGTTATTAGAGGAGGTTGCGAGGGTGAGCCCTTTGTGCTCACTGCTCTGATCTCCATGTACTGTAAATGCGGTTTGGTTGAGGATGCACGCAAGGTGTTCGACGAAAACCCTCAGTCAAGTCAGCTTGGTGTTTGTTACAATGCTTTGATATCTGGGTACACAGCAAACTCGAAGGTCTCTGACGCTGCGTTTATGTTTCGTCGAATGAAGGAAACTGGCGTGTCTGTGGATTCCGTTACAATGCTCGGGCTCGTCCCGCTTTGCACAGCTCCTGACTACCTTTGGCTCGGGAGGTCTCTTCACGGTGAATGCGTTAAAGGAGGAACAGATTCTGAATTAGCCGTTTTAAATAGTCTCATCACGATGTACATGAAATGCGGGTCGGTAGAATCTGGTAGGAGGTTGTTCGATGAACTGCCTGTGAAGGGTTTGATTTCCTGGAATGCTGTGATTTCTGGATATTCACAGAATGGGCTAGCTTACGATGTTCTGGAACTTTATGAGCTGATGAAATCATCGGGTGTTTTTCCTGATCCTGTTACATTGGTTAGTGTTCTGTCTTCTTGTGCCCATCTTGGAGCTAAGAAGGTTGGTCAGGAAGTAGGGAAGCTAGTAGAAGCCAATGGTTTTGGATCAAATGTGTTTGTAAGCAATGCATTGATTAGTATGTATGCGAGATGCGGTAACTTGGCAAAGGCACGTGCTGTTTTCGACATCATGCCTGTAAAAAGCTTAGTTTCGTGGACTGCCATGATAGGCTGCTATGGAATGCATGGAATGGGAGAGACTGGGCTTATGCTTTTCGATGATATGATAAAAAGAGGCATAAGACCCGATGGGACGGTATTTGTGATGACTTTATCTGCTTGCAGTCATTCAGGGCTAACAGACAAAGGTTTGGAATTATTTAGTCAGATGAAGAGAGACTATAAGCTGAAGCCTGGTCCTGAACACTACTCTTGCTTAGTTGATCTACTCGGAAGAGCTGGCCGACTAGATGAAGCCATGGAGTTTATAAATTCAATGCCTGTTGAAGCAGACGGTGCTGTTTGGGGAGCCTTACTGGGTGCTTGTAAAATTCATAGGAATGTGGATATGGCAGAGTTAGCTTTTGCCAAGGTGATTGAGTTTGAACCCATGAATATTGGCTACTATGTATTGATGTCAAATATATATTCAGACTCGAAGAATCAAGAAGGAATCTGGAGAATCCGGGTAATGATGAGAGAGAGAGCATTCAGGAAAAAGCCTGGGTATAGTTACGTGGAACACAATGGAATAGTTCACTTGTTTTTAGCTGGCGATAGAAGTCATGAGCAAACAGAGGAAGTCCATAGAATGCTGGATGAGTTAGAGACTTCTGTGATGGAGCTTGTGGGAAACATGGACTGTGATAGAGGCGAAGAGGTTTCGAGCACTAGCCGTGAGCATAGCGAGAGGTTAGCAATATCTTTTGGGATTCTCAACAGTATTCCAGGCACAGAAATTCTTGTGATAAAGAATTTGAGGGTATGTGAAGATTGTCATGTGTTCATCAAGCTGGTTAGCAAGATTGTAGATCGCCAATTTGTTATAAGGGATGCATCTCGGTTCCACTATTTCAAAGATGGGTTCTGCTCGTGCAAGGATTACTGGTGATTTTGCAAGGTATTTCATAGCTTTGATTGGTCGATTGCACTGTACATAATGTACTACATAGGATGTATTCAAAACAAGATGATTACAGAAATCTAAAGGTTGAAGGCTGCACTTAATTACAGAAGTTTGGATTCAGAAATAAGTTCATCTTCTACAAAGGGGATGGTTTTTCGGACAATCACCTTCATAGGAGCACCTGCAAGAATAAAAAAGATGTGATAAAGAAACCACTGAATAAATGGACTCTTTAGTCTGTCGATTGAAATTGCACCTCCACTAGCTTGATCATCTTCAGTACAGATTGCAGCATAATGAGAATCAGCCAACTCCAAGAGGGCAAACTTCCATTCTCCGCAGCTTTGCTTTGTCTTCTCCAGCGAACTGACCGTCACTTCAGATGTCTAGAAAACAACAATCAAGCATCTTAAAATTCTATTACTACTGTGTGGTTATACACACAAATACTGCAGAGAGAAATTTTCAGAAAGTGTACATCACAAAGATTGTAAACACCATATTCAATTCCAGAGTTTATTTTTAAGGCTAAAACAAACCTTACAAAGATTGTAGGCTCCTTTTGTTCCAGCCTTAGACTGGATTGTGAAGGTATTAAAAGGTGCAGCAGAGAAGCCTTTTCCTAATGCTTTCAAAGTTGGATGGTCCAACAGGTTTTAACTTTTGAGAAGTAACGATTTCAGGCATAGTAGAAGAAACTACCTTGAGAGTCCATAATTTAATAAACCAAATCCTATCAGCCAATTTGGATCACCTTTCACAAGTCCAACACAGCCTCAGCTATAGCAAGACTAATTATCAGAATCTGATATATATATATAAATCAAATGAAATGATAGCAGAAGACTCTTAAACATAGGCAATAATAAGCTACCTACATCCGAGATGGAAGTTGCGGAGGAATCAGTGAAGGCAAATCCATTGAGAGGCTTCGCTGCATTTTCAAGATGACACTTGCTCTCATCACCTCCAAAATCGCCTTTTAGAATCTTAACAACAACTGAAACTGAGATCATGTATTCAGATAAAACAACCAAATCGACGGCAAGAGAGACGTAAAAAAGGCACTTGCAAGCGATGAATATCCCGGCTAACGAAGGCGGCGAGGTATTTCACCGGTAACGGAGAAGGTGACGGAGGAAATAGATATTAAACTACATTACCCGACGGCGAATACTTTTCAGGCTTTCAGGTAAGGGTGACAAAATATAACAGAACCGTACCGAACCAAAATTTTAAGACAATGGTTTTACTTAACCTCAAACCGAATTAAACCGGAAATGATTATGTTAGCAGAAGAACTCAAATTACACTTTGACCCTGACCGAAAAATACATCAAGCCGTTGGAAAATTGGATTATCAAAGGAGACCCCTGACCGCCTGACCATAGTGTTAAGTGTGTTGAGTTTCTAAAATGTTATCATTATTATTTGCAAAATCTGAAAAATTGTATTATTGCTCTTTATAGTATATGATTTTATGCTAATGATTGTTAAAAAATCAGATTTAATATTCAGCTGATATATTGGATTGCATGCTAAAACCCATTCATAAAACCTTTAAAACCACATAGCTAGCTACTTATGATTTTTTTTTGTCTTCAAATATTTTAGTTCTGAAAAAATATCTTCACCTTAATGTGTCGACATCATCATAGGCCAGTCGTGGGAACCTCAACCACTGTACACTCCTAATCAGAAAAACCGAAAGTGAAACAACATTTCTCTCACCTTGTCTTGTGTGTGTGTGTGTGTGTCTAAACTACAAAAGGAAATGAATGAATGGTGGTGGATTGATCAACCAATCCTATGACTAAATTAAAGGGAACTGTGTATATATACAATTATATACAGGAATTGAAATCATGTGTTTCTATTAATTGTATATAATTCAAAATTCAGTTTTGGCCGGTTGGCCGCGACAAGCCATCCACTGATATATACCTAAACGATTAACTTATTTGATTCTCGCCATACATGCTGATGCTGATTTCCTAAACTAAATAAGTGTGACGTACCGATCACTTAGACCCTTTAAACAAAACTAGCTACTAAGCTAGTACGAAAGAGATCATGTTCTGTTCCGAAATGTAACTGTTGATATTGACTATGAAATTGTTTTAATTTCCACCACAGGATAAAGTTTATAACATATATATAATTGTTTAGATAAAACTAGGGTTCGTTAAGTCTGTTCTTCCCTAGCTGTATAAAAAGTTTTGCCCCGACTTAGATCATCAACCCTAGGAATCTTTTTAAAAATAATCAACTAGATGTGGTTGTTGTTATATAAAAAGACTTTCGTGCTTCGTCATGATTTTAAAGATTACGTGACATATTTGAACTTTTTTTTACATATATGGGACAAAGCATCATCGTCCAGTGCATGTGCATATTATAAGACCATATATTGTACTCACATATGCATTACGATTAATATTCGTTTATGGAGATTAAAAAAATCGAGGTTCAATATAAACACACGCTAGCTAGACGCTACAATATTATTTTTTAATGGACTTTGATATATTTTTGCTTATAATTAATGGTTATTACCTTAAATCTCACTCGGGTTTGGTTTACACGAATCTTCGTCAGCAAACACTCTGTTCACACTTACTATTCGAGAATAGCAGAAGACCTACCTAGCAGTCACTTTCATAGTTTTCGTTAAGAAAAAACATATCCTCAAACCTAGCAAACTTATGACCCAATAAAACATACAATTTGGTTCCAGTCCGTTCGCAAGCCAAAACCAATCCATATAACTTAAACCTCATCTTTGATATATATATATATACTTTTTTGTTTTTCATGAATCTTTTTTTATCCTTTTATTTTCTTTTATTTCTTGAATTCCTTTCTTTACATATATACCGACATTCATCATATGCCAGTGGTTCCCACTTGCCATTTATAATAATGCCCCATTCTTGTCGGAGGAGAAGGTGAGACAACGTTTCTCCATAGTTTTATCTATGCATGTTTGACATTCTTGTTGCTTCAATACATGAAAATGAACGTGGAATGATCAACCAATCCTACAGAAAAAAAATAATAATAGGAAGCATCAAAACGTGCATGGAGAATTGAAAATCATGTTTTCAAATAAGAATAGGAGGACTCTTCGTGTTGTTGAAACAAATATTTGACTAGATATTATTTTCTTGACCAGTAAGAGCTGGTACATATTATTCCCATCACCTTCTGGCTCTACTACGTTCCGTTGAAGAGGTGTGATGTCCGACCACGACCAGCTATCTAGTATTTGCCTCTCGATATCTGGCCCAGTAGGCCAAAAACATGCATGGACTAAATTAAACTACGATGGAATCTTTCTAGTACGGGTAAATTTGAACGTCTTGTTTATGTTTATTATGTTTGGCAATTTCCTATTTTAAAAACGTGACGAACCATCAATTTTGTCCGCAGATATTAGTTATTATATAGGAGCGAGAAAAATATATTTTAAAATGATGATACATACGTTGTTAACATGGTAATTCTTATAAGTGTATCATTATTTAAACATAATTGTAGAATTAGTATATTCACTATTTATAGTTAGCAAAATAGTACACTTTTACTATTTCAATACTATTTAAATATTTCTTAAATCTAATAACTAAAATATTTATAAATGTATATTTGTTTTTTATCAACAAACTTTAAATACAACATATGTTGTTGCTTTAAAGTTTGTATTTCTTTATCAAATTGTTGTAATTTATTTATATAATGAACTTTCAACTCAAAATCAATTGTTAATTAATTAGTTAATGTTTCTTCGTATATACTAGTCAAGTTTTTCCATCTTTCTCAATTTTCATATGAGAGCTTTTCTTACTAAATTTGTTTATTGAGATTGGATCTAAGATCCAAAATCCTAACATGGCGCATTTCAATTGTAAACCGAGATTAACCAAAAGACGTCAATTACATTACATAATTCAGGATCAATATTCTAAATATATATATATATATATATATATATATATATATAGTTATT